TTAATTTATCCAAATAAAAATAAAGGAGGGGAGGGGAATGGCCTCTCGCTTCCCTTATTTTTCATTCTCTTTTTCTTCATTTTCCTAAACTTAAACATACAATTAAGGTTTTTAAATTTTTAAAAATTAAAAATTAAAATTTAAAACTACAAACAAAGGCTAAATAAGTCTTGAATTTGAACCCAACAACGACATTTTCCCCTTTTTTTTCCTTTGTAATTACTCTTTTTTAAGAAAAACAAACAAACCTAAAAGAGGAATTTTCAAAAAATAATAATAAATTCAAAAGAAAATTTGATTTTTTTGATAAATAAAGGGATATTGACTTGGAGTATATAATATCTCCTTTTTTTAGAACTAATTCTTTAACATCTCCTCTTATGAAATTATTTTCATGCAAGCACAGCTTTCTGGAATTATCTTTCTATCTCTCTCTCTCTCTCTCCCTTTTTTTTTTTTTTCCTTCTCTGCAAAAAGAAAAGAAAAAACAATTTTGGTACATACTTGGTGGAGAGGATAGCAAGAATGCTACTTTTAAGAACATAAAACTTTCCTATAGTGATGGATTTTCACTATTCCCTGCGCTGTTAACCATTATAATTATGAGAATAGTTAACAAAACCACATTAAGGTACGTTTGAACTAAGAAAAATGGAAAAATATGATGGGAAATGGAAGTAAAAGAATAAACTAAAATGAATAAAAGAATTAAAAGAAAAAAAAATAAGTGAAGCTTCATTTTTTCCCCTAAAATAAGAAAATTTCCCTATTTCTCATTTTCTCTTAGAGCAAATATATCTTAACCGTTTATAAAAGAATAGCATGGTCATGGTCATGATAGGTTAAGAAAAAAACAAATGAAAGAATCAAATTACCGATGACGATGAGACAAGCAATGCTTATATTAACCTACAGGAAGACCTGGAGAATAGAATGTATGACATCACAGATACTACAGTTCCCAAGTCACAGAGACAAGGATATAGACAGCACTTGCGCACCTCAAGGATGTATTTCCAAAAGTTCCTAATTGCAGAGGGCCTTTGTTATGGATTTCTTGGCTTATTTCTGGAGAAGCCTCTGTTTCATTGGGTCTGATGGGAGTAGGTGTGGTGGTGTGGAGCGTTCTGACTCCGAAGATTGAATGAGGATTTGCATAACAATGGTGACAAGGACCAAGAAAGTCACCAAAAATGCAATGACTACCCATGAGGTGAGAAATGAAAATCGTTGGAATAATTTGACAATGCCAAAGACTAGGAAACATGACCAAGAAATAACAACCTGTTCAGCAACAATATTTGGATTTTAGTATACAGAATAGAAAGAGAGGAAGAAGAGAAGGATTATATGGTTCTTGGCTATGGTTATAACAGTAACTTACAAATAAAGACTTTTTGGGTCGTCCAATGTCTTGATGTTCAAGGTCACTGAATGTGTTCTTGGCAAAATATTTCTCCAATAAAGTATCCTGTTATGGTTAAGGAAAAAAGAACAGAATGAAAAAGAAAACTCATAAATGCCATTCAGCAGAAAGAAACAGATAATTGAAGACTGCATGATGCTATGATACAATCTTAGAAGCTCTAAGCTGTAACAGGAATAGACAAGGTCCCTAATTTCCAGAAAGATTGTGAAGGAAGCATGACACAAGCTCTAACAATAAAAGACATGGTCCTTAATTTCAAGAAAAAATGATTATCTCTAACAAAGTTAAGTCATTTGAGCCCTTGACATATGAGGAGGAGGGTGTCTTCAGAACAAGTTCTGTCACAACTCCATGTTGCAAAACAAGACTTCGGTTAGCAGAGTGATTTGCTGCGCGATGCTGTGAATTTATGCTGAATATTTGATGCTAATAAGTTTACATATCAGATGAAATTGATAAAATGTTCCCTAGTTAGGGACAAGCAGAAAGTAGCAGTTTGGGATTTGGGAAACCAAAAAGGGTTTCTTCGTTTGAAGTTTTAGGATCTTCTGTAAAAAATGTAAAAATATACCTTGGTCACAAACACATCCTTACACCATTGAGCAATACCATCACCTGTTTCTGGAAGTTCCTTCATTAAATGCCTCCTGATTTGAAGATTTACCTGTAACAATGTAAAAACTTAGCTAGCTTCTGAATAAGACAAGACCATCATAAGTATGGGAAACAACAGATTATTATTATATAGGCCCTAGTGATAATGTGTAACAGTAAAATGAAAGGCAATACCCTCCTTCTTCAGTGTCCATATGAGCATATTTTTTACTAGCATGTATTAGGTCAATGAAGGATTTTAGAAAGTTAACTGATTGCTAAACTTTGTTTTATTTCTTTCCCCTTTTTAGACTCTATGGTTTTCTTCCGCATGTTTTTGACTTCATGTATAATCCTGCTTTGCGTGACTGGCTCATCTATTCTAACATCCAATGTTAACAAACTCTAAAGATAAGTTGTTCAATTATGCTCTCATATCCCCACATACAGATTTTTTCTAGTTATTAATAGTGAACTACAACAGAAGAATGGACCATTCTGGACTTCAGTAAAATTGAGAGTGTTTTTAAGATCTTGCACTGGTGGGTTGTCTTCGTTTTGATTAATTTTGTAAAAGCCAAAAGTGCACTTGATTAAGATCCCAGTCTCAACTTCTATCAAATCTATCATAAAACCATCTATGAGAACCTGACTTCAAGAGGACCTGAAAAGAAAGCAGGTCCTCTTCTTTGTGCTCGTTTTTCAATTTTGAATTCAGAAACTACAGAGCAAAATTTACAAGTAAAAGAAGAGATGAACATAGGAAATATTTAATTAAGTGCTAGATTCTCAAACATTAGACCCATACCCCCACATAAATCGGAATTAATGGTCGAAACAATTTTACCAAAACCTAAGAACCTTTTTTTTTCCCCTTTTTTGGCCTCCAACCAAAACCTAGGAATAATTTAGGTAATATTGTATAATATGCCACGCTTAAGCTTAAGGCTGTTATTATCTAGATTTTGTTGGCCTACCGTAGAAGGTTGCCCTCCAAATATTCTGCGCATTGTAGGTGGAGGCTGATTCTTGGGAATGGCCACTGTACAATCATATATTGCTGGAACAAAAGAGTGCATATGACATACTGCTGAAACAAAACCCTGAAAGAAAAATAAAAAGAATTTCAGAAAATA